AGTATGCTCTCTCTCCATCCAATTCTTTACGGTCAGACTCTGCCAGACTTATATTGATTGCATATCCCACCCATTTCTGGCTATACATGTCATATCTCCTGTAATTTGGTTCATCCTGCGTCCGCCTGCATTGAAGTTGGCAAAGTTCACAGTGAACACCTGATGATCCTGTACAGTTTCTTACCCCAAACCACGGGATCTATCATGATCTATCTATCTATCTATCTATCTATCTATCTATCTATCTATCTATCTATCTATCTATCTATCTATCCGCTATCCATCCATCCATTCATCTATTTAGAATATCTATTCATGTTATCGTTCTTTCAGTTTTTTTTCGCTCTCTATCTTTGGATAACTTTCCGTTGGTTGTATGAGGACTTCAGGCTAAGATCCGCCAAGCCCTTCCTGCATCCACTGTGAGCCCTTGGCACAGGCACTGATGCCAGCGTTAAAGATGATTTCGTCCTTGGGGACAAGGGCCATGGCAGGCTGGTGCTCCAATTTATGATGTTTGTGGTAGATATACCCTCTGGGAATGAAACATAGCAATGAAGAATCTCCTTCGGAAATTTGTAGCTGGAAACGTAATCTCTGAATGGGGATTTTCCATTGCTAAGTTTGATTGCCAAAGGGTATCTAGATATCATATCCATAGTTGGATGGGCTTATGAACCAACTTAGAACTGGGGGGGCATTCAGCAAACATTCCCATCAAAATCAATGCTACAGTATAGTCTGAAGATTATGAAAACAACGTCTGGACTACAGGCACATACGGACCCACCAGCGACATGTGTTCGAAGATGTTTTGCCACTTCTGGTTGCAATGTTTTTGTTTGAGGGGTGTACTTAAAACATCTTAAAGCACCACAAGATGCCTCTGCAAACAACGGAACGTTGTAGAAACACAGGGCAGGCAGTAAGAGAATACGAACCACCAAACATCCTGGCCAAAAGTAACACATCCTTTTAGCACTGACTGACTAACTTTGCCCAATAAACGGCCTGAGGTGAGTTCATTTCTGTATCCCAGCCAATAAAATTGAATTATAATATATATGTACCCTGGGGGTCCCGCGCTATTCTTTGTCTAGTCTTTTGCAAAAGCCATTCTTTGGCGTGACGGTCTAAACTTCGGCAATTGTCAGGTGGGGTCAGGTGGCCATTGAGATGCTCCAATGGTTTTATGTAGAAAGTTGTTGCAAATAGGGCAAATGCGTTCAATTCTTGAGGATTATAGTTTGGTCCAGTGATGTATGTGAGAAGGTCTACCCTACCACTTGAGTGTGTGATGGCCGTGACACAGCGTGACGCGCCGTGACACACCAAGATCCGGGAAAAACTATATTAAGTTTGACCTTTTCCTAAAAGGCTATATATCTAAAGTATGGATATTGGAATCCTTGTGTATATATATATATAATATATCCCTCCCTACATCTCCCTACTAATATATAATGACCGTACTAGCTAACCTTATTAACGTTTCATTCGCTAGTAACTTCGTAAACACACACCATTTCTGTGCTGGCCCAAGCTTCCGCTTGCATCGCCAGGACCACGTGCGAAAGTAAGTGGATGGCATGCTGCCAGGCATTCCCTGACGTGCAGACAGCCGGTTCGGAGATTTCCCGGCTCGCCATGTTACCGGAGGGTACGGTAGATAGCTTGGATTTGGAAGAACATGACAGCTTGAAACTTACCATCTGGTTATTTAACATAGCCATGGAAAATCACCATTTTTAATAGGTACCAGGTAAACCATCTATAGATGGGCAATTTTCCATGGCTATGTTAAATAACCAGAGGGTACTAATAAACATTCTTACATATTCTTACTATGGTTGAATCAAACATCAGCAACAATTTGGTGGTTCCAATGTTCGTCAAGTAGGATCATCATCCTATTTGTACGATTCAAATCCAAAAATATTTCAGACCAGCAGCCAGGGATGGACAATGACGATGGTCGGTATTCATATCTTGTTGTAACCCCATGTGGCCATTTATGTAGAAGGTATCTTAGCTACCCGGTAATTACTAAACGCCAGGTTGGCACACGACCGGTAAGCTGAAAGAGGGCAAGATGCACCGTTGAAGAAAACGTGACAACATCAACAAAAATACTCTAAAACAAACATACTTTCAGAGTTAGCCGATTCGCAGAGTTAGCCCCGGACAAAAAAAACAAGTTCACTTGCTACAGTACATGATTCTAGTACTGTATATGATTTTCTGGTCTCCACGAGGTGCCCTGATTGGATCCCACCTTTCTCGCAGGCGCTGATCGCAGCGCTGAAAATGATGAGGTTCGCCTCCAGGGAGTCCCGGGAGCAGTCCGCCAAGAGTTGCAAGGCCTGGGGCTTTGGATCTTACTTAACACCTGTAGAAATCTCTAGCACCTATCTTGGACCTAGCTAAGATGTGTGCATGTGTGTGTGTGTGCGAATGCAGGTATATGATTGATTGATCATGATTGATTACGTAAATGTGCAACTGCACCACAACACACACACATGTGTGTGTAACATCTGAATAGATGTAAAACTTCTGCGATTTTTCTTTTCTCATATAGCGGGGGGACCATCCATGTGCTGTGAGCGATGGTCCAACGAAGCGGCCACAGTACATGCAGATATCACGGCTGATCACCGCGACGTACCTGCTATTTGTTTTGCTGCTGTGGCAAGGGGCTAAGCCAAGAACCCCAACATCGCAATTTACATCGAAAATGATCATTTGCACGGATGTCGCAATCTTCTTTTACAGTATTATTTACAATTTGATACCGGACCTGTAGATGCTTGCTTCCAACTTGGTTTATATTTATTTGATTCTGAACCTGCCGATGCCCGATTCCAACCTGGTTAATTATTCTTCATAGCGTGGTCCCGTTTATGTTCACGATCTCAATTATTTTGGAACTTCATCTTAAAAGTTGTATACAGCTACATGGAGGTCTACCTTATATCAATAATCTTGTTTGGTTGCACGTTTACGGGAATTAGTTCCCATCGGATCACTTCAATGATCAAGTTCTTTTCTAGTGCGTGCACGAAGCAATGGCTCATGTATCTATATGCACTGTTCTATGGATCGATGAAGGTGAGGCTAATTGAAGGGGTCCCCACTGAGAACTGGCCAGGTGATCATATAGTAACTGACCATTTTGTACCAGGAAGATCCAGGAAGCATCGCGCAGTCGCACATGACAGGACATGCGAAATTCAAAGGTTGCTGGCTTTGAGCTGAGATTCACCATGTTCTGCTCCCAATGACAAAGAAAAAACACACATATACAGTATATCTATATCTATCTATATATATATATATATTGATTTAATGTGTGCATCATATATACATATACAATAAATGTATATATATATATATACATATTATTATTATCATTATTATTACTATTATCATTATTATAATTATAATTATTATTATTTATATATGTATATAGCAAAACCAAATCAGAGTAGATGTAGCATTCATGTTCTTCATGGTGGGGACTGGGCCCCAGAATCGCCCAAATCCACGGTTCTGCTGTCTTTAAAGTCCAGGCCCAAAACCGAAATCCATCCCCCGGTGGTACCTGCGGCCATCGGCCCCCACATGTGCGGATGGCCCCGCAGCGGGCGCGCAGATCTGGAAGACCCGAGGAGCCATACTGAGCAGCCAGCAGTTGCCTTGTGGACCAGTCGGGATCCAGGGGAATTGGGATGAAATCTTCGGGTTTGGGGGCATTACCCTCTGGTAATTTAACGTAGCTATTGAAAATGGCCATTTATAGTGGATTTGTCCATTAAAAATGGTGATTTTCCATAGCTATGTTAAATTACCAGAGGGTAATGCGAAAGATGTTGTAAGCAACAAACGTGACAAAAACGGAAGATTCATCTTTTTTTTTTAATTTTACAAAATCATGCCAATTGCGGTTCAACCGAAACTTGTCGGACAGAACATGAGCGAACTGGTCAGATCGTTGTTGGCATACCAGTCCCAGTTCGTGCAGCTGTTCATTAGAATGCCAAGGATATAATGCATGTCATCATGCAATTTCAACCAGCCGTACGAAGATGACGGCGGCAGACTCACAATTCATGCCACCATGAGTCAAGTCAAGTAGTCAAAATGTCAGATCCTTAAAAGCGCACATTTTGAAAACATCTCGTGAATCAGTTCATGATCCCATGTATATTGGGCAGTCATTAATTCATTACTGGCCCATACCAGTATATCCAGTATTAATGTAATGGGATATGATAGGATAATGATAGGATATTTGAGATATTTGAGTGATAATATCCCAGATAATCTCCCAGAAGCATGTCTTGAACCCTCCAAAAGGCGTCTCTCAACATCTCCTGCTGCAAGGGGGCAGAGCTTCTCTCCAGTGCTTCGGCGGCGGCTTCGCCGCCGGCGCCATGTCATGGCTATGACGGCTTTGACGCCATGGCGCGGATCGCAAGTGGAAGGGTCTAACGCTGATTTTCTGAGTTTTCAATGCTTTGTGTATGTCGAATCTTGTTGCATCACGGTTGGTTGCTGTTCATGCTCCTGGTGTTGCTGCCGTTCTTGCTCAATCTCACAACTCGCACAACAGCCCAAGGTGGTCAGCCACATCATCTGAGCAACAAATCAGATGCAAATCAATGCAGATCAGATGCCGAACATCATATGCCTAGGGATGCCTAGGGCCTAGGGTCTGCATGTCAGCAACTGAAGGGTTGGAAGGATTTGTCCATGGGGGATGAGCAACATCGATGAACCAGGGCTGAGCCAAGCTGCACAGTATCCAAGAAAGTTGCAAAATCCACGACTTCACATCGGTCAAACTTTGGTGTCATTTACTACCCGAATCTTATGGGGGTCAATTGAGGAGTTTCTTATGATCGTTCAACCAAGAAATTGCAAACTTCACAACAAATCAATCAGGCATTAGCGGAATCTTTGGTCTTCTTGAGCCGACTCATGCCCACATGTCCAAATCACTCTTGGAATGGAACTTTCCAGGCAACCACCGCTCCCATGTCCGCCCTGTTGACATATTCTTGGCCACAGACTGACATGACTTGGGCTCGGTTCCGTTCCTGCGTGACACAAAAGCATGATGGCCATAGAGACTCACAACTCTTCATCAGCCTGGGAACTGACAGCTCTCAAGCAGAATATATTACATTATCATTTAATCATCATATGATACTGGTATATATACAGCATATATATATATATCATTAGCAGCAGCAGCAGCAGTTGTAGTAGTAGTAGTAGTAGTAGTAGTAGTAGTTATTGTCATTATTATTCATGTTCTTATTTTGGATATATATATATATATATCATCATCAATTTCTATGCTCCCGTCTGCCATTTAGGTGCACTTGGTGCGGCCACGAGGCCGCCAACCAGGAAGCGATGGAGATGGCCTAGCAGGGATAAACGAACGTATGGCCGCAAGCGAGGAATCCCTTAGAGGATCCATGGAAATTATAGAGAAAGAGTGGCTGAGTTGCTATTATCCAACTATTATCCCATAACCATTATCCCAAACTACTATAATAGTGGTTGAATAGTTTCAGATAGTAGTTTGGGATAATAGTTTTGGGATAATAGTTGGATAATGGCAATAGCCACTGAAAATCACTTTGCTTTAATCAGGTATAAAAAACATATCTATAAATGGACCACTTTCCATTGCTATGTTCAACGACCAGAGGGTATGAACATAGTGGAAATAATGTGGAAATAGCTTGGGATAATAGTTGGGACAAATGACCATGTATTCTCCAAAACTATACTTGTCGATATAATGGTATGGGGACCCCCTGGCAGATGGGACCTCTATTCCCACACTACTCCCATACTACTATATACTACTCCCATACTACTCCCATGAGAAATCCCTATTCCATATGGGAAGATGAATGAAAGTCCTGTCAGCCAGGGGGGCCCTATTAGTTCCATGGACATAGGATGAGAATCATGACCCATCAATTCTATTGAATTCTCCTTGAATCTACTTACTTGAAGACTCCTCGGAGTTGGGGAGCAATTGTCGGGTCCGTATCAAACACCAACCAACTGATTGCCGAAGCATCATAAAGCACTTGTTACTGTGCATGTGCTGGTGTATGCACACAATATCATGGGCGATTTAGAACGGAATATGTTTCATGCATATGTACGTATATATATATATATGTATATGCATACATACACACACACATATATATATGTATATTATTGTTAATAATAATAATAACAATAATAATAATAAGTGTGTATTATCTTATCTACCATTATTTATATACCCACCCTTCGAGTCCCTTTATTGGGACGCCTGGTTCTATCTAAACACCGCACCTCACCAGCTCGCGTTTGGCCCGGCTCCAGGTTGGAAAGCGTCACCTCGTCCTGGCACTGCCGTCGCCAGGAGGCAGATCTGGAGGTGGGTCAAAATGGAAGACCGATGTGGGACCACAGATGTGAAAGTCTAGTTTAGGGATTTAATGGGATTTAATGGGATTTTATAGTGATTTAATAGGATCTAATGGGGTATACCCTCTGGTAAACTAACATAGCAATGGAAAATGGCAAAAATTAAGAATGGTGATTTTTGATAGCTATGTTAGTTTACCAGAGGGTAAGCAAAGATGCTGTTCTCTCTATGACATTCACTGGAGTGGTTATGAATTTCTAGGACATTGGCCAGTGGCTTTATGAATTTGGGTTTGTCTGAAGAAATCCTCAAATTTGATGTTTGAGAACATTCTTTTCTCAATTAAAAATAGCCTTAAAGGGCGTAAACAAATCCCAACATGTTCAAACAACCCCCACAGTGAATCTATCCAATTATATACCTATTGTAAATATCACCATAGCATAGTTGGTTTATCGGTTGATATCGGTTGCCCCGTATTTTTTGTTGGTTTTCCACCATGAGTTTTCAGCAGCAGCATCATCAAGCACCTCCTTCAAATCCAGCTCCACAGCCAAGCGCACACCCTGCCAACTGAAGGTCTTCACATGTTTGTTTCATGGGAACATACCCAAGAAATGGTAGAGTTCTGCCCAGTACGTACAAGTTTCATCCATTTAGTGATATTAAAGGTGGTTATAAAATGAGGATAGAAGATGGATGAAATTTCTGGCTCCGTTTTCAGCTGGTTTCAATGGCATCTAGGGCCAGGGTCTTTTAGTGGCCTCTACCAACACGTCCATCAAGGAAAGGATGCGGAAGAATGGCTCGCCTCAGCACTTGCTAAACGGTTTGGGGCTCGGAGATTCTGGTTCTTTCCCGGGAAACATCTTGTTTTCACGTGGGTTTGACCATCTAAAACCACTGGGACCCGGAAGCGGGCTCCCTCTCCAACGAAGTCCTGCTCTGAGGCAATGACTTTTGCCAGGCAACTCCTTGCCGCGGGAAAATCCCCCATAGTTCAATGATTTTCCTAGCTATAACCCCATTGTAAGATGTGTAGAATAGGATTTTCAATTTTCACTTGCCATGTTTGATTATCAGAAGGTAACCCAGAATTAATTGAGGAGGGGCACCGATTATTGAGTGAGAAAATTGCGATTTTGAGATATTTTGAGGGAATCCCCCCAATTAACAGTCAAGGTTTACCATTGTCCGTGGATGAATGGGTCGCTCTGAGATGTTCTGAGGCCCTTTGACAAACAGAGAGGTACTCTTTGGATATCTTTGGATCAATATGTTTTGTTCCATTTCCATCCATTTCCTATCTTCACATCAACCATCACCATCCCATTCGCCAACCCTTCACCAAGCTCTACCCTGCCATGGCACGCCGCGACGTAGCGGTCTGCAAGCTCCAGGAGCATCGACCTGCTGAGAGAAAGGTCCGACAAATCTCAGCGGATCAGAGTGGATCACGTTGATTTTCCACCCGCATCCTGGGTAAAGTCTAGTGTATGAGTCTCTGAGCCTGGTGTGTGAGTGACCCATTGTTCAGGCTTAAATGGGTTAATTGGTTTGACCATGTTTGACCTATTGACCAGGTCCATGGGGATCACCATGTCAGGAGATCCGTCCAACCTTGAAAGCCACCCCATCATCTGGGCTCACCATCAAGCCCACCTGGCAAATCTGCAAGGCACTGCCACACTTGGGTGCCTCCGAGAGTGAAACCAATCGTCCAATCCTAGATCCCCCAGAATTGAGCACCGGAAGTCTTTGGATGTCTTTGAGCTGTCTAATCATCTCTCTAATATTAAACACCACCCATTTTTGCCTGATTTAGAAGGGGATTGAAATATGGGATATTTAAGGGACCATCAAAACTGATTTGGTGTTTCATTAATGAACCGGGGATGGGAGATAGCATGGATCCACGGGATCACCTCCAACAAGAAGGCCGCATCTCCACTCGTGTTCACCCTCAAGTCCAAGCGATAGGTCCCTTCACCTGCCAGGGCTGCCAGGGAGTTGTGTGTTTTTTGAAAACGGATTGAGAAGGCGGTTTCTGCACCCCAAAGTAAGTTATTGAATATATAGGTTACGGAATCCTATGGAAAAGAATTACCATGAAACAAAACAACCTAACAGTAATTCCTAAGAAAATCATGAAACACATAATTACTAAACTAACAGTAATGGTTCGGAACAGTTCTATCTTCTCTTGTATTCCACCAGAAATCAACCTTTGGGACCGCAAACGAACAGCCTCTTCGCATGGGACAACTGGATGCCAGCACTTGCCGAGAACCGCCAACCACCTGCAGCTCAACAGGTGGCTTCAATGGTCCTCATTCTATTCTATTTCATTACAGTTTAACATGTCTTATTTCTCATTCTTTCTAGAACCACTACGGTCCCTGATGCATAGTCATAATATATAGTAGCCAATGTGGCGCGATAACCATGACACAGTGACCGACCAGTCTAGGGCCAATCGGGTGAATTTGGCCTTCTTTTGCCCGGCCTGTTCTTCCAAGGCTGAATTCCAACCTCTGAACCGAGCCAAAGGTTAAACCACCCCTGCTCTCCACTTTTTTGAGGAAAACATTGGCATGTCTGACTGACATTTCAGAATCTCAACTAGCGTTCCCAAGCAAGTTACACTTTTAGTGATTCAGGATTCAGGATGTTTTTGGTATTTTCTAGTGATGCTGCGATGCTTGAATCGTCATACATCTTAACTCAACTCACGTCCGACCGTGCCAAATGGCAACGGAGATGTTCTCAGATGTTCTCAGTCACTCGCATACCATCGCAGACTCTCGACCTCGACATGAGAAATGAACTCTGCAAGCCAAGGATGGCATGACAGGATGGAAGATCTGCCATTTGCGAAATCATTTTGGTGCTCCCTCACTGAAATCCTAGATCACTGATCTAGGTACGCGGAATCATCTGCATCACCACTAGAGTGGCTTAAATGTGAAACCAGAGCATCCAGAGCTGGAAAACATGCCTGATTTGATGCCCACAAAGAAAGAGTTTCGACATTTACCTGCCAAAAGAATCGGTTTGGGACCCAAGAAGTGTCTCTGAAAGACTCCAGCACAGAATTCACCACTGGGCACTCCAACAACGGCAATGCAATGCCGCTGTGTCATCGAAGGCTTTTAGGGCCTAAGGACCGAGTGACCTGAAGAACCTATAGGGAAAGACTGTTCCAGACCCTTTCAGGTGTTCTATCTGATTTCTGTGCATGACCCCTGGGTAAAGAAAATCTACATTCTCTGGAAATTTGATTTAGCTATCAAAAATCACCATGGTAGGTAAAATCACCCAGCTAACTTGCAATTTTCATCCATTTTCGCTATATCAAATTACCAGAGGGTAAATCCCATTAGATCCCATTAAACCACCATAAATCCCATTAAATCACATTAAATCCCTCTGGTAATCACATTAAATTACATTGGTTTCTGGGTGTCGCTTCAACCCATCACAGAGCCCACGCAGCCCACCAGGGCACACAATCGTTGCGCCGCTGTAGCCGCAGGAAGCTGCTGCCAGAAATGGAAGTTGTGGTCTCCTCCGTGGGGATTGCGGGGTGGGTCAGCGGAGAGTTCTTGAAAACAATCCTTAAACATCATTATATAAATATTAAACAATCTCATTCAACAACTGTAGGTTTATAAACATCATTAAACACTATCATTCAACAACTGTAGGTATAGGTTTAAGTTCCTTATCTTCCTTTACGGTTTTAGTATCCTTTACTGTTTGCTATAGTTCTGGACCTAGGCTGGTTTATGATAAAGAAAACAATTGAAGCTGATATGGGGTGACAGGGCCCTATCCCAAACTTTCTTGGATCAATCAGCAAACAACCAGGGGGCCATGCTGCCCTCACTTCCATTAGTTCTGAACTACGTTGTTCTCATATATTTCTATATGCCTAATTCCACAATTCCATAGCATATACAGTATGTATATGTCTAAATTCTGTGATGAATTATGTCTATTATATGACCGTGTATATCGAATATATGCATACACAGAAACAATTCCCGTCTATATATATATATATATATATACGCATATACATATACATATGCTTTTCTTTTTTCAGTACAGTAAGTCTATCTCTGTATCTCTGTATCTCTGTATCTCTGTATCTCTGTCTGTCTGTCTGTCTGTCTGTCTGTCTGTCTGTCTGTCTGTCTACCCATGAATATGTATAATTAATCATCCATCCATCCATCCATCCATCCATCCATCAAATTAATCATGTAGATATAAATATATATATATATACATATATATATATATATCATCTAACAATATATATATATATTATACATATATGATTAATTATGATATATGTCGTAGAAGTATGTAAACACCCCGCCTTTTCCCGAGCGAAGGCCTCCTCCGGCAACTCCGCGGCCACCTCTTCAGCTCCACCTGTGACCGTGGATACGGCACAAATCAAAGGGAACACCGAGGAAAATCTAGGCAAATGATAGGAAAACCAAGGAAAATCACAGGAAAATGATAGGAACACCTAGGAAAATCTAACAATATATATATATATAGGAAAACCATAGGAAAATGATAGGAAAACCATAGGAATATGATGATAAAAGAATGTGTACAGCATTTATAGTGGATATTGAACTAATACCTTATTGAGATCATAGATGATATTGGAATTTGTAGTAAGGACAATGGCTCCCACCTGAGGCAGCATCGGCCACACCATCACTCCTCAGATGTGGCAACTGATCACTGCAATTGGTAGTCCCAAGATGGCCCAAGCCATAGGTATCAGCCCTAACGATTTGTAAAAGACAACACGTCAGAAATATTCTGGCGATTAATGATTAATGTTTTTTCTCGAGAGAGGTAAAAGACACAGATTTGGAGTTTGGCACCCAAGTGTCCAGCTTTCAGAGAACATTTTGAAGGAACCAGACAGACATCCAGAAACCTTAGCTTTGCAAGCAGTTTTTGTCGAGCCATGCAATTTCATCTAGTCAGCAATTCCGGCTTTTTGCCAGAGCCGTCAGCTCGTGTTTTGAGTGAAACCTGGCTGTGGGACACCGGAAGATCAGGGGCCGGAAAGCCATTGCAGCTCATGTTGGAGACTGGTCATTGAGTCTCTTTTCGCTGCTCCAGGTCTTTTTTGTTCTGCATCATCCTTTATCAAACATAGACTAATCATTGACTAATCCAGCTCAAAAAAAACAAGCCATAACCAGCACCAGGACTGAGTCTGGCTGAATATGACCAGTTCACCAGCTACAAATCAGCTTGTCGCCACCGGGTGGGGATCGGAGCTCTTAAGAGCCTTCTCCTCCAGCTCCTGGGTTTGTTTTTCAGACAGGAAGAAACCACAGATGTTGGGGAAATGATATGGAAATTTGTTGGAATTGTGCCCAATTTTGAAATACTATATACATGAAATACTCGTCATGTGGTTGTACGCGTACGCTTTTGCTATTTGTGAATATAGATGCACGCGTATACATATACAGAAACATATATAGAATTGAAGATCTCCAAAAACAATAAACAAAATACCACATCCTCTTGTTTGAATCTTGAAACAGCATCCACATGAATCCGAATTCGCGCCTGCAAAATTGAGAAACTCACTGAGGGTTTCAATTCCAAACAATAAGATCAATAAGCAAAGAAATTACATGCACCAGTGCTTTACAAACTCGAAGAGGGACCAGGCAACAATGTCTTTACTGGTGCACGAACCCATCCAAAGACGCAAATCTCCAAAAGCTCCACATCAGGGGGCCTCCTCACCACAATTGACCTATGAGTTACCCATGATGTCCCCATCTTTTTGGGTGCACTGTGGAATTTTGGATCACGTCCTATGGTTCCCCATGGTCCCCATGGTCGCCTGGCTGGTTGGCTTCTTCATCCTGTACCAATGGGACGCCTGGCAACGTCCCCGGGAGCCCCATGGGAATCCGAGATGAAAATGATAGGACCATGAAAACGATCAGGGAAGACAGTGATTTATAGAAATAATGTTTGTATACTGTATATGTTGCCTATGCATATGATTATATATCTACATGTATATGATACATGTATTGTAGATGCACAGAAATGATGGATCTACTGTAATTACATCTATGTATGATTCTGTATGTATATCAAAAACCAAAAAGTAAAACATCGCTGAAGAGTGGATCGGATGTTCATTGCCATGCTAGATGCTACGCCACGCACGGAGGTTTTGTAGGGGGTGACATGGGGTGACACTCCAAACACACCTGCGTCCCACCGTTCATCAACAACCCCATCGCATTTCCACGATTCAAGAGGTTTCAACACACACACGCACAAATTCCATGACTTATTGAACAAACATTGCCTATCTTGGGCTGCTTATGGCCTCTCGGCCCCAGGCCTGTGCAATTCTGAATGACCACCAGGGTGTACTCCACTTGGGTGACACAGATGATCTCGGTCCCTTGTTTGGTCCGCAGGCGGATGTTGGCCAATTCGCTTTCCTGAGAGCGGTACCGGGACCGTTAGGGCGCCCGCATCACTTAGGGCAACACCAAACGCATCACTTCAGGCAACATCCAGAAATCACACACTCCTCACACTTTGGACGCTCACTTTGGGCAACACGGATTTCATCACTTTGGGCAACACGGAAAACATCGTTCTTATCATCTCATTACTTGACTCAGCCATTTGGGGTTTGGTTGGGAGGGTGGGGGGGACAAAAGAGTCATTGATGCTGGGAACAAGGGTGGGATCCATGGACTTAAATCATCACTTGACTCAGCCATTTAGGGTTTGTTGGGGGGGGGTGGGGGGGGACAAAAGCGTCATTGATGCTGGGAACAAGGGTGGGATCCATGGACTTAAATCATCACTTGACTCAGCCATTTAGGGTTTGGTTGGGCGGGGTGTGGGGGGGGGGACAAAAGCGTATTGATGCTGGAAACAGGGTGGGATCCATGGACTTAAATCATCACTTGACTCAGCCATTTAGGGTTTGGTTGGGGGGTGGGGGGGACAAAAGCGTCATTGATGCTGGGAACAAGGGTGGGATCCATGGACTTAAATCATCACTTGACTCAGCCATTTAGGGTTTGGTTGGGGGGTGGGGAGGGGACAAAAGTTTTCATGTTCCTCTGCACACAAAAGCACTGCACCTTCATCGCCTGTCGTCTGAAGCACTGCACCTTGAACATAAGTGTATCCGACCGAACTGACTCAGCACTCTCTGGCTTGTTCGGGAGAGCGCCAGGCAAACGTCTCACTTGCAACTCGGAAAAGCTTTCACTTGTAACTCTGTCTCACTTGCGTCCCGCATGTCTCCCCCGCAGCGCGGCAAACCGCTAACTTGTAGCATGCGACTGTTTGCTCACATCACCTGTTGCGGGATGGAGGATGGGGGATGGGCGTGGGGGCGGGGTGTGGGGTGTGTGTGTGTGTGTGTGTGAAACGTTCTTTTTTGCTCTTGGCACAAAGAATATATGCTACACCATGAGCCGATCTCCTCTTGCACCTGCACACCAACATGATCTCACGCTATCACATCTTCTCCTGACACTATCATCACCATGAACATGAGGAAGATGAAGATGAATAATACTCGGAAGAAGAAAATGCTTATAACATTGATGATCATGAAGATGATGATGATCATGATGATGATGATGATGGTGATGAGGATGATGATGCTGATCTTCAGGTATCCCGAAGCGATGCATGAGGCGTAGCCCGAAGCGATGCACCCGACGTATCCCGAAGCGATGCCTATGCCCATAGGACCCATAGGAATCCAGTTGGGAAGTGGTTCGCAAATGGAGTGTGATGTAATAATGATTAACATCTATATGATTTTGTTTTCATAGCAGTCATTATCTCAAATTTACTACCATATGGCTGGGAAACTCTTAGTAGCTCCTTGGCTCCCCATTTAATAAGGAAGCCCGAGCTCCGAAAACCGCCCCCTCCTAACCATTGGGTAGTTTCGAGTACTCCAGTTATAAAGGGATATAAAACAGGGTGTCCTTTTTTTTGTTGGTATCCAAAATTGTTCCGCCACAATGTTCTGTTGTGCAGAAGAAACGTCTGGAAGGGAAGGATCCATGGATCCCTGATAGATGAATCGATGGATATCAATGGTACAAAAACGCTATAATATAGTGATATGATAGTGGATCAATTATATATATATTATTTATACTTGGTGCAACCAGTGATATCACATCATCTGAATCTGAATATCACAGCTATTAATATGTTTGCAGTAATGAACTAGGATAACTAATAACTACTAGTAATCTGAACATCTCTCAACCGGATTTCAGCCAAGCTACTGCTGGAGATGTCAAGAGACCCTGCCGCGCAAAGCGTGGTGATTTGAAATGGGCACTTAAGGGTGGATTTCTAACAAATCCCTCACCTGGTTATATGGCATCTGTATGTATTATATATATATATGTACGTGTGTGTGCATATGTATGGATATTATTATATGTATGTGTGCGTGTGGAAAATATATCTATAATTATCTATATCTATATATATATATATATATCAATTTTCCTTGTCCATTCTGAGGTCGCCATACATTACCCACAACACCATATCTAATTGCTCAAAGTTGTCTTGGAGTAGCCGGGCGCTGATTATTTCTACACCACCCCCCATCACGCATCCAAAATCCAAAAGATAGATTCAAGGTGCCAACATGTGCCAACTATAGAAGTAATTATATAAAACTTGTCCGTTAGAAAAAGTCTCCTGAAGTAAATACATATCATATACCATTCGCCAATGTAACTTTCTATATTATTTGCCTCTTGGGGGTGGCCGAATTTTTCACAACTCCTTCCAATCTCAATTTCTGCCGTGATTGTGCCCAATGCAGAACCATGGCTTCTAAAAGGTTCTAGGGCCTCTATGGGGTTCAGTATTTAGGGGCCGAGGGGAAGCCAATCAGAAATGAGGCCACGGGGAGCCATCCATGGGGGGCCATCACCATCGACGGAGCTGAGCTGCTCTGAGACTCTTCTTGCAGTGTGCGATGAAGTCAGACATCAGAGCGGCATACATCACAGCCTTGGTCGCTTGGCTGCCCAAGGCTTCAAGGCTGAGCAACCCAGTTTGACATGTTTGACGCGACATGGGCCATGTCCAAGACGGAAATCAATGCCAAAACGACACCACTAACCAAGGTCTTCGTTGACATGACATTGACCTGCAGCTGAGGGTGCCGCCCTGTCGTATGGCATCGTCTCATGCCTCGTGGCTGATGACAACGCATTTGAATCCATACATCTTACATAGTTGCGCACAATTTATACAAACAATTTATACAGAAAATATCATATTCTCATACACAAAAAGTTACATATACACTATTATTATTACAGTAATGCAGAATTATTTAGGATGCTCGCGCCAAGTACATGACGAGCTTTCCTGGACCCTGGTCGTCCTTCAGAAATCTTAGAACTGCCCCCCCAATCTGGGCAGTTCTAGGTCAATAGGTATTGCAGGTGGGGAGATCAATGATTATCAATCGGCACAACCATGGTGATAACCTCACGTATACCCTCGGGCAATCTAAGATAGCTATGGAAAACAAAGATCGATCCATTCTGAATGGATTCTCTACAGCCATAGCTATACCATAGCGCTATGCCACTGTTCTTTCCTTATACAGGGTCTACCTGGAACTGCAGATCCGTTTCCAAAAACAGCGAGCACAGGCCCCACAGGCCCTGGCCACTTGGTGGGGATGCCGTCCGCATTAATCACCACAAAGCCAATGATGCTGGGGAAGTCCGTCAAAAAACCCTTCAGCACAGCATCCACCTGCCCGGTTTTCTACGAGAAGCACGAAAAAAGGTAGGACCTAAGGATGGGGTTGGAACATGTTGGAAGATGGTGACTCGAGTTTGACCACATTTAGATACCCCTGGAACTGACATGAAATACAAGGTGGTGCCCCCCAGTTATAAGTTGGTTTATAATCCCATTAACTATAGATATATCACCTATAAACCATAGTTATTGGAGTTATAAACCAACTTAGCTATCGAACGGGGGCACCACCTTGTATATTGGTGGTTGAAAGTAGTTGGTTTCCATCGCCAGGACGGCCAGCTGTTGCAGATTATCTGATTTCCACCTCAATATGGTCAACGTATGTCAACGTGGAATATCAATAAACCCTGGCAACCAACAAATGCTAGGTCAAAATTAATCGCTTTCAAAACATGAGATAAATCATGACAAATATCAGAAGTGAACAGTTCATTTTGTGAAAAAAAACAGAAAAAAACGATCTGTTGCTTGGTCAGATACGAACATAGGGTCCCTGGAGGAAAGTTTGGATTTTACAATATAATTATATAAACGGTATGCCGTCCCTAACAATATGCATGACTTTGGCGTTTGTGTTTGAAACCTACTCACAGGGAAGAATCACTACCCCACATATGGCCTGAGATAGCCTGATGTATCTCCATTTTAGGTATCCGAAACGTGCTATTGAGAGAATTTGAGTACCGGCACCCGTAAATTTTATTAATTTGCCTGTTGAACTCCACTTCCTTTTTACTTCCTGAAGGATGCATATCTAAATATTGTTTTGAAATGTTTTGAAAAGGTTATCATATCTGGGCTACTTCAAAATCAGAAAAACAAATATATTGTGCATATGATAAGGGGTATATCCGATATCCCATTCATATCCCATTCAATCACCAAAAAAATCATATTAAACTCCCATTAATAGATACCCTCTGGTAAACTAACAGTTCGCTATTGAAAATGGCCATAGAAATAGTTGATTTGTCCATTAAAAATGGTGGATCTTTCCATTCTGTGCCGACCACCTGACCTCAGAGGACTGAGCTCCTGCCATCGAAACAGGCGACGCCTGGAGTGAAATTCTGGTGCTGCAAGAGTTAACCATTCCCCAATCTGACCATAAATGTGTGGTTCAAAAGCATGGGCGTTTTTTTTTTCATTGCTTTCCTAACATGTCCTAACATTATATCATGCATTATATCATGCTTTTTATGTGGGTATCTTGTATCTTGGCAAGATAATTATCCAGTAAAGACTGAAGCAACAAAGGATTCCTGCCAGCTCCACTCTCGCCTGAAAACATACTGCGTCGACATCGTCGACATATTTTTGTTTCACCAAGCCCTCTCCGTAGACAACATTTTTCACAGGCTTACAAATACCCTACATATATCACAAATCCCAGAACAATGGAATTAATTGATTAATTAATCCATTGATAATGCAACAATATATTCAATATGCAACATAAAATGTCAAAAGTTCTTGCACCTATGGTTGATGTAAATCCTATTGAATATATTGAAACCTTGTGATTCTCTATTGAAGAATGCCAGGGAAACAGCCACCGCCCTGGCCAGGCCTGGCCGATCCCAGCTTTTTGCTCGAGCCAGAAACAGCTTCCATAGTGAGAAGCATGGATTTATTCGACATGGAAAGTGGAAAGGCATTTAACACCAACATATGGACAAACAAAGAAATAGCTAGTGTAAAGATGTGTAAAGTTTGTATATCTTTGCATGATTCAAAGGGGAATCACAGCATTTTTTTTACCAATAATTTACTTCGTGTTGAGATGTCCACCACCATGCAGCCACATGTCATTTCTAGCAGATTTCAGACCAAACATACATTCCCATGCGCAGGTTTATTTTCCATAATATTCCACATACATAATTATACATACATAATTATAAATATATATATATATAGATATATCATACATCTATATACCTATGGCAAACAATTTATGCAAAAGAACAGGCTTTAAAAAGACACCCAAGTGTCCCAAACATGCTCTCCACACGTCGAGCTCGATACCTCTGGCTTTGCGCATCACTTTCGCCACCGGAACGTGCAACCTGGGGATGCTCAGGGGATGCCAAGGGCGTTGCAATTTTCATGTGCACATGGCAGAAACCATACATTTCAACAGGAAAACCGCTGATTTTTTTCGAAAAAATGGTGGATTGTGTATTACCTTACACTTACAAACAAGTCAGTGTACCCCTTGGAAATTGGCTGCCGGAACCATGTTCAATGTAAAAGCGGCCAAAGTGGAAGCAATCACTAGACCATGGGTGTCGCCCCACACTGGGTTTAGAATGGTTTACATAGATATAGACAGGTAGGTAGGTGGATGGATGGATGACTGGTGGATAATCCAACTACGAAAACGGTGCAAGGTGCAAGAATGGGTGACCACCAAACATGCGGGACTTGTGGTCTACTTTGAGCAAATGAAATTGTTGCAGGATTAATTACGCCACATACCGCCTGGAAATCCCGATCATTAGGTTATAACTATATACCCATGAAAAGTAACTGTGGATTAGTTACATACACCATGTTTCCTGAAGCCACCGCCAAACCCTACACACCAACATGCGCCCGACATGTCTAACCTCGGCTTCTGATTACATCTGATTACTAACCATTCACCAGTTTGTTAACTTTACCCTTTCAACAATCAGTCTGGGGGTCTTCTCAGTTTGCAAGTTTGCTGGGTAAAGACACGGTCCCATTAAATCATTTAGGGTGCTAAATATGCTAAAAACAAACTCGTCTTTGAATCCACATGTGTTTAATCAATAATTCATTGAAGATTCTTCTTGGGGCCCATATTTTCTCAGTAAAAGCCACGTTTTCCCTGGCAAAATCCAAGGTCCTGGCAAGCTCCTCCTTTGGAGGCAGCAATTCCCAGATCAATCCCTGCTGGGCTGTGATTTTTTTGTTATTAGGGGGTTGGGATTAATCAATTCTTTGATGGGAATATTTACACTCCACATGGTGCTTCCGGTCGACTTTTTGTGCGGCAGCTAAAAAGATCTCAATGGAGTGGAATGGAATTGAATTGGTACTTCGGATTCTGGAGCCATTTCCAAGCAAGATAGTGCCTCAAGATTCTCGTGTCATTGCCCACCGCAAATTGAAACTCTGGAAGCCAAACACGAACAGTTTTAAGCGTAACTTCTGCTGACCTCCCATTGGGCTCATGGGAGATGTATATGTGGCTGGTGCAACCACCTAGGATGAATAAGCTTTTGGGGCATGAGGTACCCTCTGGTAAATTAACATAGCTATTGAAAATTGCCATTTATAGTGGATTTACCCATTGAAAATGGTGATTTCCCATAGTTATGTTAGTTTACCAGAGGGTACCTCCAAAAGTCAGACTTGGCATAACACACTTTCCGGCAAAACTCTTAGCTCCAACCAGTTCCAAACGCCGTCCCAGCCTTGGAAATGGCCATGTCAATGTTCTCCTTTGTCACTGGCACCTCACTGGGCCCCACTGGGCGCCCGGTGCCTCTTGTTGATGGTTTTAACTTGCCGAAATTAAAGATGATTTGCATTCTAGACATGGCAGTCTCTGAAAGAGTCTTAAAGCCAGCTTGGCCAGCACCCAATTTACCACATTTGCCTGGATGAGCAGCCCAAAGTTTGGCAAATTGATGTACACCGTCTCATAGTACATTGTATTAAATGGTCAATTTCTTTCCAATTCAATGAAGTTCATCAGTTCTTGGAACTGTTTTTTCGCATCGAAAAACTTCAATCATTGGTTACAAACCTTCGGTGTCATAGCCACAGCCTCCAGTGCTTCACAGGCGGCCCGGCCCCTGCTTCCGGCTCGTCGCGGAAAGCACACGCACCTCCACCTGCGAAGAAACCGAGGTCACCAAATTGGGAGCGCGATGAGATCGAAATATTCAATGGAAGAGCACACACACATATATATTATATTACATATATATATATCATATAATTCTATATTTTCGTCATGCAGGGTTCCCAAAAAAAAAATCAGTAACATCAAATTTTAGGAAGGGACTGACTGAATGACCTTGACTTTTTTGGAGTTCAAGACCCAATAACCGGCCCAAAGATTGCCAGAGCGCGGTTGGCAAAATTAGAGCAAAACCAAGTAGAATCAGGGTATGACCATTATACAAATGATGGCTTAAACAAAGGATCAAACTAAAAAAACATTTGGGGATGCAGAAAACTGACACGTGGGAGATAGGAGCCGGTAGTGCAAATGAAGTCACCAAGAATGAGAATGGGAGTAGAAAACGCGAAATAGATCGAAATAGATACAAGAGCCATCATGAGTCATCATCATTGAGGATACAACCACCCAACCAGCCGGAAAAGAGTCCGGCCTGCAGTCAGTCTTTCCAAATTTTCCAAACACTGCGAATCTCCTAGTCCTCCACTCATCATCACTCATCCACTATTTAATGTCCTGCGTTGGGGGGGAGGCAACCAACATCTCCGTCACCTTCCAAGCACCATCGCCGGGCAAAGCGCCAAACGCTCATCTCCTAAGCCCAGCATGCATCATGACGACATGGTGGGAAAAACTCATGGAAAACCGTTCGAAAAGAACAGTCCAGCAGGGAAATGCGTTGAGCCCGCGCGAGTCCACGTTCATGTTGTTAATATGTGCTAATTGTGAAAAGACCCAAGTGGAACCCATCATGCGTTTACAAAGACATGGTTGAGCCCAGCTTGCTACTGTGAGACGTTCTTGTTAGTTCACTCCGGCTATCCGGGTTAACTTTTATGGAGGAGATTGGTGTTTTGGGCCGTTCTTTGGTAATGAAACATGGCAAACCAAAGTCCCCCATTTGTCTAGTTGGATGCTTTCTCCCATCAAACCTCCATTTTATTATAGAATGTTCATGAATTTTCATGAATTTTCCATTGTCATACCGCTGAATGCATGACAATCCAATTCAACTGCGAATCGGGAAAACCCCTCAGAACATCTGCAGTCAGCTCACTCCAGTTCCATATCTGTTCTTTGGCCAATTCTTGCTTCTAAGTTTCAACCTTGTCCACTTCAAGATATTTCAAGATATGGGATTGCCTGGAAATAGAGTACCCCTAAAATCCATTGGTGAATAATCATTTTCCCTATTAAAACAGCCATTTCGGGTACACCTCGTTAGACAAACCAGTATGCCCCTGCCCCTTTCTGCGCCCCTCAGCCCTGGACCGGGGGTCTGAAGTAGGGGCACTGCAACAGCGCTTCCACCTGCAACGCGAGGTTCATATCAAAATAGATGATCATCCACCCAAAATATGTGGTAAATATATGTAATAATAGGTCTTTACCCATCCCCATGCGTGTATTGTGTATTTATATGTATACGGTATATGTGTTGCGTGTGTGTGTGTGTACGATTAAATTATGCATATTAAATTAAGTTCAATAGCCGGACTTTGGACATCCAAGCCTACCAACAGGAAAGGCGTCCAAGTCCTCTCAGTATCTCCCAGGTAACGATCTTGGGTGCCAAATGGACCCAACATGGTTGATTCTATCAGCAGACCTGCCTGTGACGCTATTCACATCCCCAGAACATCTTTGATTTTTCATCCCAATAATATGTTTGACTTCTATACCATTTTCCTCTACTCAATCCTGAAAATCCCTGGGTCTTTTTCATCCGTTTCTCAAAATGATGTATCAGCGTTTCCCACACATGTTTTCCCTCCAAATCTGAAATTATATATACTGTGTATATATATATATATATCCGTTTTCCCCCATGTTTTCATCCAATTCCGGCTTTCCAACATGGTTTGCTGGAACATCACCCAATCGTTGAGATGTGTTTCGTTCCATTTTAAATGGCATATAGTCTGCTAAAGCAGGGGCTTACATTTTTCATCTTCCATACATCTCCCATCTCCCACATCTCGGGGATTTCCATCCAATAGCTGGGATGCCTCCGGCAGCTCCCAGGATAGCATGGACAGCCGTGGATGTTGTGCCAGGCGCTCAGGCCTAAAACCAGGCGGCCCAGTAGCGTGTTTTTTGGGGTATGGGAAATGTTGCATGATTTAAGCAGCAAACGTGGAGGATTTTTCATGGGATTTATATGGAAATATATGGTATAATATGGTATATAATTCTTTGGGGCTAGAAATGGTGGATCTATTTTCTGGGGGATTTGGCATGTTTTTTTTTCGGTTGATCTAACTGATGGAACTCCAAAAATACGTCTTTAATATGGTGTGATTAGGATATCATTAGTTAGGATATCATGTGGGTAGTAGTGGGATATAATTATTCGATATAATGGGAGCTATATAACCAACTAATATATGGTGTAACCCTAGTGCTCCCAACACCGTCTTAGAAGGTGCTTGGGCCCAAAGAACCACACCCAAATACAGTCTCAGAACGTGTTTGGACCAGTCTTGGGTAATATCAGTTTTTCGGATTTGACATGTTTTGACCAACAAAGTTATGAATGATGCACTAGTTAAGAAAAATAGAGGTTTAATATGCTTGAATGGGGAGATAATTGGGATATGTCAGCAATAATTGTGGTCAAGATTGATTTAGTCAACAATGTTATGGAGCATGAACCAGCTAAAATGGGGTGGTCAACCATGACAAACGGTGAGTTGACATCATGTGGAGTCTATATGAATATAGGTAATTACACATTTAACCAATAAAGCTAAAGCGGACTTGGCAGGTTATAACATTTTATAAACAATCATTTTCAAGGGTGATACCACGTCTTAGATTATAAGTAATATAAGCATAACCAACGGTGGGATATTAAGGGTGTGTCTGAAAATCGGGATGCGCCCCGAATCTTTGGCCATCGAACAATAGGGAACATGAGAATTACTGTAACTACTATAGATTTAGGGGTCCCTGCCCCGCAATACAAGACCATGGTTTCGTTTGGATGGGAAGGGATCGATTTGTAAACATTCCCAATGTTTTACAAGTGGGTTGTTTAAACCATCCACAACTTGGAGGTCTCTTATATACATTTGACATTTGGCATGGAACCCTGAACCAATACAATTGGATGTTGCTTGTGGTGGTGCAATTTGTTTTGTTTCTCCCATGTTACATTCTTGAAGGGCACAATTTTCGCTTCTTCTCAATGTCCAATTTCATCCAACTCCCAGAACGGGGCAGAGCCACCAGAATCACACCACTTCACATGACCTCGCCCTTGCCATCAATGATTCAATGATGTTTCGGGCATCGTATCCTACATGAATTAGGCGTGTGGGATAGGAAGCACCAAATTCGTCCCCCCTTGCATTCCTGAGGCCGTTGCACCCCAGTGTTGGGAAATGTCATCATTTCGCCCAAACGTTGGTGTTTTTTCTCACAACAAAAGCGTTTGAAAGCTCCTAGTGTCTTCCAGGTGACTTTCAAATCTTTCAAGCTTTGGTATGAATATATTACTGTGACTGTACACAAACATATATGTATTCATACATCTGGGTAAATTATAATATGTCACTAACCTGAATTAAGGCCATTTGGGGATGATGTCCCTTATTAACCATGATTCCCAGTGAGGTCGCAGTGAGGTCGTTATAATTTACCCAGATACATCCATATATAGTCCGGTTATGTCCCGTTCAAAAGCCATTCGAACGACACGCATTTGCGCAATCATAAGTCACATCAGCTCCACGTCATAAGTCTGAACTTCAAATCTGCAAACAAAAACTCCAGGATTGTTCAGGGCATGGGGTGTAATGTGCCCAACTGAATCAAGAGCACAACAACGGATCTCCAGGTCTGCAATAAGGTGGAATTAATCATCATCTTTGCACAAAAATCTGGCAAAGGAAACCGTGCTTCTCGATTAAGCTTTACAGCCAAGCAAAACATGTTTATAGCCTCCAAAAGTTGAAAACCACTGCGTAATCAAGGCACACTAGCGCACAGCATATCAGTTCACCACTGCGTAATCAAGGCACCCCCCCGGGATGCGCCCCGCACCCGGCCAACGGTGTGCAGTCAGGGCCAAACCCAGGTCACTGGTGATTCCATGACCACTGGTTTGGGGCCATGACCGCGGGTAGGGCAAACCTGGATTTCCATATGAATTGTGGATTCTGATCCTTGGTACGGACTAACTCATTTTGCAATTTAAGTGCGAAAACCCATCGGACAAACCGAAGAAACAATGCAAAACTGCATCTTCCGCGAACAGGTCTATAGTTCATTCGAACAGCAGCACAACAGCACAACCATCCACGAAGTGTACACGCGATAAGCATTGTGACCTGATGCGACGACGTGACAATGTGTTTGGCCTCCCCTCACAACATGCCAGCCAGGAATCGCCTGACACCCCCAGCGAGCACTTTAGCGCATCGTCTCACTGTCATGCATCCCATGCATCCCAAGA